CCCTTTCTCGTTGCATGCGCAACAGGGGGGCCCGCCGCCGTCTCGCGGGATGAGGGTAGGTGGAGGGGGTTGGGTGTAGTCCGATACACGCTCGCTCATCCGAAAAGGAGGAGAAACAGCCGAGAAATCACCAACTCAATCATGGGGGGTAAGTATATCAATACACATCAGTCAATCAATCACATTCAGACGGCCTGCCCGGACAGCTCAGTGTCTTCTTTGGGGAGTTTTCCGTATCTGGTCTTCCTAGGTCTTCCTCGAAAAAACACGGAAGAAAACAGGTGGTAGGCTCGACTCACATGTGCTGCTGCAGAAGGGCAACGCACAGATGGTGCGAAGCAGGGCGTAGGGGGCAGCGGGTGGAATGGGCAGGAGAGGGGGCCTTTCCACCCTCGTTGATTGCGGGGGGTGGGTGGGTGTGCATCGGTAGGAAGCGAGTGCTTTGTTAGCTCCTGTCAATAGTTCAGATGTGGATATCGCACTCCAGCATGGACTTGGTGGGTTGGTCGGTTATTGTGTGTAACGAGACTCGTATTCCCTGACTTGTTTACAATCCGAGGGCTATACGTTTACACATGCCCTAAGGATATGAATATTTTGGGCTGGCGTCGTTTCGTGGACGCGTCCATTCCTGGACGCTAAGGCATCTGCCGTCCGAGAGATGGCCAAACAGGGTCTCCCCTGTTGGCTTTGCATCCTTTTTGTGCTGTTGGCACGGGCGTCCCTTTCTGTGTCATCGCGCCTGCGGCATCCACAGGACGGTTGTGAGGAAGATCGAGGCCATGTGCATGATGCGTTCCTCTCGGTTGGGTCCCTACACAAGGATCCACAGGACAGCTCTGGTGTTGATAAGGTAATACGCGGAGAGGTCGGGTTATGGTCTCGCTCGTGTTCATTCATTTTAGTTGGTTGATTCCCTGGAACCGGGGACATCTGGAAGTCTACCATTCGTCATACCCTTTTCAAGCAAGACACACACATGTCACGGACACATCTTGTGTGAACTCTCCCCTCTTTTTTTTTTTTAGATTCTTCGCAAACAACCGTTGGCCCGCATGCCCATCGCCAAAATTATACAAAGCAGGTGCAGACCCAGGTCCAGAAGGGCTTCAACGAGAACATGACTGTTACTGTCGGTGAAGGTCGCCGAGGCAGCGCGCGTCCCAGGCGCCTCTATGAACTTAACCCTTGCAACACGGGCACCCACAACTGTTCCGCCAATGGGGGCCTTTGCGTCAATTTGGGCGGCGACAAATTCAAGTGCACGTGCAGAATTGGCTGGACGGGGAACGGGTATGTTTGCACAGGTATACATACACAGCGGAGGCACATACCTGCGTGTGGTCTTCCTTTTGGTGATTTCCGGTCAGATGTCATCAAACACAACACTCTGTCATTCAGAGACGACGAATCCAAGGGGTTGAATCTTTTTTATAACAAGGGGGGATCCGAGCAGAGCAGCGAAGAAAGCAGCGAAGAAAGCAGCGAAGAAAGTAGCGAGGAATCCTCCGAAGAAAGCAGCGAAGAATCCTCCGAAGAGAGCTCTGAGGAGGGTCCAGAAGAGGAGGGCCCCGACCAGGAAGCCCCTGTCACGGGGCAGAAACCGGTGGGTCCACCCCCGAAGGAGAGAACAACAACAACTCCGGGTCCTTCGGAAAGAATTCCGGCTCGAAGTGGCTCGACAACAACAAAACGTCCTACCTCAACAACGAGTCCAGCCCAAAGTACGACTGTTGGCACACCCGAGAAAGGGACAACCACCACGCCCAGACCCCCAGCTGCTCAGCCATTCAAGCCGCAAAGTATTGCCGTCAGGAGAGTCGGAGGGCCGGAATGTTTTGTGGCACTGACACTGCTTCTGACACTATTCCACTTATGCCAGTTATACCTGTAGACATATCATTCGATTCGCCCCTCGGCTTGGATGTGACGTGTGTGGCTATTCTCTAAGTGATACATGCAAAAATATGTCACACACTGCAAACAAGCGTGAGACATGCATCACGATACACACATACACAAAATCAAGATCCAGCCAGCCACCTCACAGCCCCAAAGCGGGGCTGATGTGTGCCGGCAGTTCAGACCGCTTAAGTGGGATTCCATGGAGAAATGCCGTCATTTTTATAGTGTGGGTCCGTGCTCGTTTGTCTGTTGCGTTGGCACGTAGTGCGAGTTTGTGTGTGCGTGGCGGGCGGCGCCGCTGGGAGATACGCCAGGCGGGCGCTGAGGATGGTGCTGGCATGTTTGTCGCGTGATTGAGAGTTGGTCGATTGACACAGTTCATTTCATGAGAGACCGAAACTGCCTGCCGTTGCGCTACGAGTCAATGTATTTTCACATCATACCATTAAATAC